TACAGTCTCAGGGTGCTGGATTTGGGATGGAACCCTCCATGCATGGTTAGGAGCTTTCGGGTCTTAACGTCCGTGGTCTGAATCTCTTCCTTTGGCCACCTTATTATTCCTGCAGGGTATCTGATCACTGGCAGGGCATAGCTGTTTATTGCCCGGGTCTTATTCTTGCCATTGAGCTGGCTCCTTAGGACTTGCCTAACCCGCTGGAGGTACAGAATAAAAAGAGAAAGGAAAAAAAGAGAGACACCGTATTTTTCAGCATTATAAGGCGCCCTTAAAAGCATTCAATTTCTCAAAAGCCGACAGTGCGCCTCATAATCCGATGCGCCTTATATGGACCAATATTCTGATTTCTTGGGCGTAGTATTTCAAATGTTCTGTAAAGCACTTTGTTACAGCTGCAGCGGTTGTGAAAGCTCTATTGTATTGTATTGTATTGTATTGTATTAATTTAGCATAGCTCCATCTAGTGGATACATAACACAACCGCAGCCACTATTGAAGCTTCTACAGGCATTTAAAAAAATAATAAATCCTCTTTTACATCAAATCATGTGTGCCACCATTAGGAGCACCCCTGATGTTAATACTTTGTACAGCCCCCTTTGGTCAACAAAGCAGCCCCTAAACTTTTTCTATAATGCTTCACGAGATGGGAGTATTCAGGAAGACCCCATTTCTCTTGACACAAACCATCCAAATAATTCAGTGACCTGGTTCCTCTCCCCTTTAGCTCACTTCACATGCCACCCATCTGGACTTAAAAAACACTTTAATTAAAAAAAAAAAAAAGGAAAGAAAACCTGCATCCTATTGAATCTGCTAATCAGCAGTTAAATTACAGTGCACACACTTGCGGATTAATTATGAATCATGACTCAAACAAAAGCGAAAACAATAGCATTTCAATGTTTTTTGGGGGGGTTTAAATTGGAAAAACCAAACAAAAATTGCAAAAGATTTTTTTTTTTTTTAAATCCCGGACAGCAATGTCTAAAATCGAGACCCAAGTATAACCAAAAAAATGGGAAGGTCTCTATACCATGGAGGGAAATCTGTACACGTCAGGCACTGCTGAACAGGGGCAGCTAGGAAGGGTGCCCGAGCAATTCTCAAATAGGGGAGGAAGGAAAGGCCTCGGTGAGAAGCAGAACTCCACCGCTGTAGTAATATTTGTCATGTATGTCCCATGTGCTATAAGTGTTCAGTTCTTGTTCATGTGTTTGTAGATCGTCTGTTGATTCCTCAGATGGTCAAAGTCAAAGGGAAAGTTCACTTCATCGACGCCTTCTGCGGGGCCTACTTCACATTTGCCTTGTCCAAAGACGGCCACGTATATGGTTTCGGCCTGTCCAACTATCACCAGTTGGGTAAGTGTGCCACTATTTTCATAGCCTGCACTTGTATGTGGCATTCCTTCTCCAACAGATACACATTTTCACATTGTGATCCAAAATAATCGACATAATACAATTGTGTATGTCCATACAAGGGATGTGAAATACTTTTTAATGAAAGTAAGTCTCATCACTTATGGAAGTTATTGTGACGTGCCAATTTGGCTAGACGGGGGAACCACTGAGATCACCTTTCAGTAATCGGTGTTGTGGACCTTATAAATGGTCCCAAAATACTCCTGTTGCAAAACGTAACTTTGATTTCGTTTAGTAGTCTACTCTGGCAACCCTTCCAGTGTTAGCAAAATCCTGCGTCCACGCCACTGGTTTAAGACAACAACAAAAACTTGGTGATGTGACCAACTGACAAGCTTATGTTTTATTCACGCATCCATCTAGGCACAAAAAGCACGAAGATGCATTTTGTCCCTGTGAAACTGAGCTCCTTCAAAAATTCGACCTCAACTTGGATTGATTTTTCTGGAGGACAGCACCACACTGTCTGCCTGGATTCTGAAGGTAAACTGAAGGATTATTTCAAGCCGCTATTTTGTTTGTGCAAAACTCAATTTCATTCCCCCCCTTCAACAGGACAGGTGTACAGCCTGGGCAGAGCAGAGTATGGGCGCCTTGGCCTTGGTGAAGAGGCTGCAGAGAAAAGCGAGCCCACAATCGTCAGTGGGATTGAACCAGCCAGCGGAGTGACATGTGGGGCGTCTGTCAGTTTTGCTGTCACCAAAGAAGGTGAGAAACGCTTCCAGATAAGTGGCGAGTGCCAACCTATTCTTCAAATGCAGTTTTGACCGCATTCGTTGTTTTAATGTTTGCTTTGAAATGCCTAACGTTTGGCTGTGCCTACTCCAGGGTGTGCATACGCTTGGGGAATGGGCACCAACCTACAACTTGGCACCGGGCAGGAAGAAGACGAGTGGAGCCCTGTGAAAATGACTGGCAAGCAGCTGGAAAACTGTACAGTACTGATGGTGTCCAGTGGGGGGCAGCACACAGTCCTTTTGGTCAAAGACAAACAGGAAAGCTGATGAAGCTCCCAGGCATGTAATGATGCTTCAGCCGTGTTCACTGTGCTTAAAATTGGTGGTGGTGGTGGAGGATGATCATTGATGTCTTATGGCGCCATCATGGTAGAGTAGAAGAGGTGAGGTCAGCTAAATGACCCTTTTGATGACGTGACTACATGGTGGTAGAAATTTTCAATATATCATGATGAAAACAAAGCTATTTTTTTAAAACCTTATTCTTTAGATTCCCTTTGTTGGGTTTTCAATAAAAAGGCAGTATGGCTGTGAGCTCGTGTGAGATTTGACTAAGTGTGTACATAAGAGCCTTTTTAATTAGTTAATACCCAGGCTAGACATTTTAAGAATTTTTTTTCCCCCTACTTTTTTTCTTTCATGGCAATAATTGCATGGTGTTTGGTCCAGACAGGACATTTATGCCAATTGAGCCTCTCAAGCTGCTGTCCAG